TCAAGACACTTGTGGTCCTCATGACAGCATAATAGATAGAAATAAAATATCTTAGTTGATAAGGAAAAAACCGCAACTTGCGCAAAACTAAATCAAACATCAACTGTTAGCGCAGTAAAAAGGTGTGCACACAATCGCAATAAAATGTGAATTAATTTCTAGCATGCATATGTATAACATAGTTGTGCAAGCATACATCTATTGTGCATAACATGAAAAGAAATGAAAAAGGCGAAAGCCTGAAATAGCTGTGCACACACACAAAAACATACAATGTAAAAATGCATAAGTCTGATAAAATTGTGCAAGCACACAACAACTGTGCACACATAGTAACATAAGTTTGACAAAATATTCAACAATCTCCCCCTTTGTCAAACTTATGAACAAAGCAATAAATTGATCACAAGATCAATACAAACTTGTCTCATATAAACAACCAATCATCATGTAAGCAAACAATCAAAGACAAGAACAAAATCAATCAACAAAGGCAACACAGAAACAATATTAGCCACACAATTATAAACTAAAGAAAATATGAAACTGAAAACATCAAATAGTTCAACAAGTAATCAAGCTAAAATAAGCTCCTCCTTACTTGGGGATCAACTAAAGCGACTAGTTCATATGAGCAACATAACTAAAAAACAAGTTCAGCAAAAAAAAATGAATAAATAAGCGACCAGTAAAAACTCAAATAAGCCCCCCCTTAGAATATCATATCAGCATCTTCAACTCAAGTAGTTGCACCAGCAAAAAAAAAAAAAAATAGTAGCAAACCTTACTCCCCCTTTTTGTTCATAGAGGCATGTGAACTTTCTGCCACCGTGCGACATCGGATAATGTGGCTGATGCATTCATTATCATGACATTTTGAAACTCTTTTTCCATAACAAAGGGTAGCAGCCATAGGAGAAGAAGGGGAATGAACAACAAGAAGAAAAAGAAAAAAGACACAAAAACACATAAAAAGAAGTAACAGAGAAATGCTCTCTCTAATCCCAAGCCTCAAGTCCAATTAGAAGAATTTTTCTGATCATTGGAAAAATTCATCCTTTGTACCCCCAACACCACACAAAGAAATAATATATCGGTAGGCATAGTACTTATTCACTTTCCCGGCCGAACCACTTTAAAAACATCTAGTGTATCCATCGTCTATTAGAAGGCACGTCACCACCTTGAGCACCGCCGCATGCGACACGGGTCCCTTACACTAATTTTCAGGAATCACACACCTATCTTACTCAGTTCTCCTAGGAGTCAACCAAGTATCTCTAGTTGGCGCTTGTTTTCTCCACGATTTAGTCTATATAGAAATTTGCATCAACAATCAACAAATGCATTTACTGAACAGTATGTTAATAACTGGGTTGAAGTTAAATTTCATTTAAGAAGTCTCTCTTTTGAATTACAAATCGTTTGGCTATGCCTTACAAATGCTATGCATGCATAAGTAGTAAATGTGAAGACATGACTATGTTTGTTTAGATTTTTAAACACTATCTTATCCAATCCAATAAAATAATTACTTTTCTATTCAACTCAATCTTATTCTATTCAACTCAAAACATTTAACAATTACATTTCTCAATAAAGTTTATAATTTAACAAAAATACTCTCACCCACCCAACTATTGCCGGCAGCTAGCCACCACCCACAAACGGTGGTCGGAAGTCGCTAGAATGGTACATGACTAGCTAGATCTAGCCAGTTGTATGTCGATATGACTGTTTTCGACAAGATCCACTATAGATGTAATCGGAAACAGTCAGATCTATAGCTAAAGATCTGTCCATTGATGGTCAGATCTGACCATTGACAATGACCATATCTTAATAGTAGTTGATGGTCAAATGATGGTCATCTGGTCGTCATATCTTTGGATGGATAGAGGTATTTTTGTTAATTTATAAATTTTTATTAAAAAAATAATTATTAAATATTTTAAATAGTATAGGATGGGATTTTGAATAGAATAATCAACATTAAAACAAACGTGCATTGCACTATGAAAAGTATACCAAACATAGGGCTAGCTTTTCTTCTTTTCATAAAAAGGCGAGCCAATTAATATTCGATTACTATCTTTACATAAGGGAAATTTCGTTGCAACTTTTATAAGGAGTTGCTTTAATTAAAAAAACCCATAATTTCATGTAACTTTTCCGAGTAATCCAAACTGGGCCGCATTCGAAAGTTAAGAGTGTGGGAAGTTTGTCAATGAAAGCATGCGTGCCAGCTCAGCAAAAGTTTTTTCTAGCCAGTGCGGCGGAGCGCAGAAAGCTTAAGGCTCCGTTTGGTTCACAATTTTGTGTTTTTGGGAAAAGTTTTTTGAAAAAAGTTAAAAAAAAAAAGTTGAATTGGGCGGGTATTACGATGTAGGATTTACAAATTGTAAAATACCCCTTATGTTTGTTTTTTTACAAAACACCCCTTATAATAAAACATTAAAAGTTAACAAAAACACCCCCAATCCACCCTCAAATACGGACAGCCGACCACCACCGCTAGAGGGTGGCCGGAGTCGCCGTAACAAAAACATTAAAAATATTTAGGGGTATTTAATTGAATTAACAAATTTAGGGGGTTTAAAAAATGTTGAATAAAGTTGAATAATATTGTGAGTTTTTGGGTATTTTACTGTTTAACTTTTTTGGGAATACTAAAAGTAGTATTCCCAAAATCCAACCAAACGAAGCCCTGAATTTTTGGGTATTTTACTGTTTAACTTTTTTGGGAATACTAAAAGTAGTATTCCCAAAATCTAACCAAACAAAGCCTAAATGATGGTATCCAATGTTTTTTCTTCGGCAGTATTAATACCAATAATTACAACCGCAAATTTTGTATGGAAAATGGTACGCTCATCATTTTTAAAAACTTTTTTCTCATCATCTTATCATAATAATTTATAAGTGATCAGTTTATAATAAATTTCATCTAAATCTCATTTAATAAATTATCTTAATCAATTACAAACTAACACATCGAGATTATAAAACAAGATTATGGGTATAATATTACTAATTTTTTATACAAATTTTCTCTCACAAACTTATTTAATAAAATATAATTTACTGATTTTAAATTTAAAATAAATTTTTACTCAATCATCTTTTATCATTTTATCATACAAGTTTATATGATCAAAATTTGTATAAAATGGTTATGAATGTAGTATTACTCTTCTAATACTATCCAATAAAAAAGCAATAATGCTATCCATACTCATGGAACTTACTAACCACATTACTCACATTTGTTAAAATTACATATGGTATCCGTATTATACTTATAGTACCCTTACTATGCTTTATATTTACAAAGGTGAGTAAGAGAATGAGTAGGGGAGTGAGTAAGTCTAGCATTACTCATAAAAAAAAGTCATCCACTTTCTTTAAACTCTTTAAAACTGCAATCAAATATCATCAATATCAAAATGGTTTTAGATATTTTATTCGAAACTTTAAAAGTTACCATCCATATCTACTTAACTTATTGAGATTTTTTTGAAATTTCATAAAATTTATTTATAGAAATTTCATGAAATTTCAATATTTAGACAGTTCGTAAGCATTTTCAAGTAAGCTCTTATGGATTTTCTTGGTGGATAATTAAGCAATTTCATCCTAAGGTCCCAAAGGAAGAAAGTTTAATGAATATTTTGTAGTTAATAAAGTCGAATGGATAAAGTTAAGGATGCCTTTCTTGGTATAATAAAGTATCATAAATCTTATCCCACCAATTTTTTCTTTTAATTTTTTATTTGTACCGATGAAGACTCAGGTAACCGAGCAGCCCTATTCTGGCCAGAATAGATATGGCCGTTGACGGGCAAGTCCATGACTGTTAACGACCAAATCTCGCCTAGATCTGATTGTTAATGGCTAGGGATCTGGCTGTTAACGGCCAATTCCATCGATCTAGTCTGATATGGCCTTTTTGGGCCATCAATATAGCCAGAAACGGCTATATCGAAGCCTCCCGAAGCCTCTCACAGAAACTTGTTCTTTTTTAGGGACTCCGGTGACTTTTCGACGACGGTCCATGGTGGTTGGCCGCTGTCGACGGTGGTGGCTGGTTGGCAGTGGTGGTGGTGGCTGAGTGACAGTGGTGGTCTGTAAATTGTTTTAAATATAAAAACATTATTGTCCAAAATTTTAGTTAAATAAGGGTAAAATTGAAATATGATATTAATATAAATTTATTTTAAAATGAGGGTATTATTATCCAAAACTTTTATTAATAAGGGATAAAATTATAACAAAAAAAGATAATCTTAGTAGTCTTAGAATACCTAAAAAAATAGAGGTAAATATTACTAATAGTAACTACTATTGGTATTTGAAAATTACCAGAATCTTATATTATTTAACAATCAAACGTGATAATCAAGTAATATAAAATTACATTACTCCAATAATACGATATTTTCGCCAACCAAACGCCTCCTTTAAGTTAATAAAGTTATAAAGTTAAGGATGTCTTTCTTGGTATAAGTAAATATCATACATCTTATCCCACCAATTTTTTCTTTTAATTTTTTATTTGTATCGATGAAGACTCATCTAACCGGGCAGCCTATATAGTTAACCGAGCAGCCCTATGGATAAACACTGAATATTTTTCTCATACCACTCTTGTCAGTTGAGAATATTACCCCGACAGTAACTTAGTAATTGTCTTACCTTTTTATTAATTTATTGTTTAACTCTCTCACCCTGATCCCCACTCATATGAATAAAAAGGTCTTGATTTTTAACATTTATTTGTTTTACATAAATTTTAATTTTTCCATATTGAATTTGCCCCCTTTGATATTAAATTCTAGGTTGGTCCTTGGATGTACCTATGATTAAGTGCATATTTTTTTTTTTTTAATTAAAAAAAATTTCTCGTACCATTGAGGTTCAAAACTCTCCAATTAAGAAGTTAAACGAGATTGAGAAAAATTCTTGGCTATGCAGTGATTATTTATTAATGAATCTAATGACATTTATTTTCGTTATTTCAACTTACTCAGGTAAAAACTACGGAAAGGTTAATACCAAAATATGTGTGGCTCTTTATTGGGCTGCATTAAAAGGTGACTGGGCAACTGCCGAAGTTTTGTTAGGACAAGATCGATCACTGTTGTGTGGCAGGATCACAAAGAATGGCGAAACTATTCTTCATATTGCAGCAGGAGCAAAACAGATTGGATTTGCAGAGAAGTTGCCAGAATTGATAGAACCTCAAGACCTTACTCTTAAAGACAGAAATGGAAATTCGGCCTCTTGTTTTGCAGTGGCAGCTGGAGCTATCCAAATTGCTGAAAATATGTTGGAAAAGAATGAAAAACTGTTGGCAACTCGGGGGACAAGATGTGACTCCAATCTATCTAGCTGCGATATTTGGTTACAGGGACATGACATTATATTTATATAGGAAGGCCAAATTCAACGGCGTTATTTTATCCAGGGACGACAAGGGTTCTCTATTTTTTGGTTGTCTGAGTACAGGACTATACGGTAAGAGTACGTTCAAATGGTAGATTTGTGTTAATTAGAAAGTGCAGTTCATAATTGTCCTAACTGTATGAAGAAAGTTTTCCACTGTTGTTCTTAGAATTTTGGTGAATTTCTCAGATCTCGCAATGGAGTTGCTAAAGGATATTCCAAAGTTAGCTATGGCTCGTGACAAAAATCAAGATACGGCCTTGCATATTTTGGCTCGACAGCCTTCATCATTTGCCGGCAGAAAAGGAGGACTATCGAAGCCGCTTATCACCTCAAGTTAGTTTCTCCATATATATTTACTTGGTGTATGTAACCTTCTAATGATTATACTCAACTTCTATATATAATATTTAGCGAATTCGAGTCCAACCAAAAAAACAAGTGATTATACTATATCTGCTGCCTTTTTTTTCCAAATTAAGATCATATTTATTACTGTTGAAACTATTAAAAAACAAAATTTTACAATTTCCTAACATATGAAAGTTTGGCTAAAATTTATATTTTCATTCTTAGTCCCAGGAACGAAGTTCAATCACAACACGGATTCGATATCAACTCAAGCTCTTGAATTAGTACGACGTCTTTGGGACAAATTATTAGAACAAGGTGACTTGGAGCACACAGACCTAAAATTTGTGCTCAACGCAGCTAGATTCGGAAACTCTGAATTCTTGAACGAGCTCATTCGCCGTTACCCAAATTTGATTCATGAAATTGATGAGAATAATCATAGCATTTTCACATTGCAGTTATGCATCGTCATGCTAATATATTCAATCTAATATTTGAGATAGGTTTCACTAAGGATGTAATGGCGACTTTGGAAGATAATGATGGCAAAAATATATTGCATTTAGCTGCAAAACTTCCGCATCCGAATCGAGTCAATATTGTATCAGGTGCAGCTCTGCAAATGCAAAGAGAATTATTATGGTTTAAGGTAATAAATATTTTTTTCCTGAATCAAGTCTTTAAGGAATATTGAAAAAATAAACATTTTAATTATTGTTTCACGTTAATGTTTATTTGTAGGAGGTTGGAAGCTGGTGCAACCTTCATTTAGAGAAAAGAAAAATAAAAATGGCCAAAAACCTCAAGAATTATTCACCTAGGAGCATAAAGAGTTATTAAGCAATGGAGAATCATGGATGAAGAATACAGCAAGCTCTTGTATCCTTGTTGCAACCATCATCGTAACTGTCATTTTTGCAACGGTATTTAGTGTACCAAGTGGCAATGATAATAATCGAGGAATACCTATTAGTCTAAGAGATACTTTATTTCAGGTTTTCGTGATATCAGATGCAATAGCATTATCTTCATCTTCCTTCTTGATACTAGTCTTTTTGTCTATCCTTAGCTCGCAAAATACAAAAGACGATTTTCTCATATCCTTACCATTTAAGTTGATTCTTGGGTTCTCATCTCTCTTTATTTCAATAATAACCATGATGATAGCTTTTATCACAACCATCTTCTTAGATTATCAGGATAGATTAAATTGGGTCACCATACATATAGTTCTACTAGCATCTGTGCCAACCACCATTTTTGTTCTGCTACGTTGTCCCCTTTTAAGAGAAATATCATATTCAACATACCGTTCAAGGTTTCTATTCAAGTCAAGTACTACTATACTTTAATTTGCTAGAATTATCGAAGTTGGTTGTATTGTAACATGTAAATTGATGTTAATTAAGCCTTTCAAATCAGTTATGTACCATATGCATATTCCTCTTATTTGCGCATAATTTCCTGGTAATCTAGTATATTTCTATTAATTATTATGGAAGATTCAAAGATGTTCAATGGGTTTTTAGAGTAGAAATTATTGGATCCAAAGTATTTGGTTTTAGATAAAACTGAGAGAAAACAGAGAGAATGCTCTGAAAATTAGATTGATTGTATTGCTAGAATGATTTTTGGATCCCAAATTACCAAAAATTTATTTTTATATTTATTAAGTCCAAGATCAAATTAATTTGTGCCGTTTCATCATTTATTTAGTCCACTCTTTACCTCATCAACAAACTCTCTCCTCTTATGCTGATGAGCTTAATCTCCTCTCTGTTTTTATGGCGCATTACCTTATTGACCACTAAATAGCGTCGTATTTGTGTGTGTTTATATATATATATATCTGTGTGTGTGTGTGTGTGTGTAAATTGTTAAAGTGAATTATTGATTAAAATTAATTATTTTTCAAGAACGAAATAATATTTTACAATAAATTTCATAGTGAATTTTATATTCACAAATTTTTACTTTTATTTCTTATGAGAAATGGTTATATTTACAGGATATAATCTAGAGAACAGATTTTTATCCTCTATCAAATTGATTAGTATCCCCCATTGTTAAATATTTTTTTTCTTTTTTTTTTTTTAACAATTTTAACTTTAGTGAAGATTACTAGAAATAGTTGTTAAGAAATATGGGTTATTTTGTTTTATTGCTTCTTAAGGGTAGATCTGTCTTTTTATTATTTCCTTTGTTTAGCCTATATATATATCTTTGTATTTATGTTAAATCATACTTTTTTTTGTATTCAATTGCATTGTGCAATATCAATGAAACCCTAGCCTCCTCCTTTTTTTATTATTTCTTTGGATTGTTTAACATGGTATCAGAGCAAAGTGTCATGGGACGAAATTTAATCTTAAACACAGCTTACGCGGATCTAACTTTAATTTTTGGAGAGGGTATTCGTTCAGTTTTTGTTTCGTTGGTATTCATTCAATTTATGCAATCTGGTATTTCGTTTTCCTTTCTTTTGCATTCTGGTTTTCTTTGTTTTGTGAATATGACTACTGAAAGAAACGATTTACTTCAGTCTGTGAGTGTGAGGTTAGATGACAAGAATTATTCATATTGGAGTTATGTGATGAGAAATTTTCTTAAGGGTAAAAAGATGTGGGGATATGTTAGTGGAACTTCTGTGAAACCTAAGAATATTGATGAGGGTTATGCTGCTTTGATAGATACCTGGGAAGCAAACAATGCAAAAATTATTACTTGGATTAACAATTCTGTTCAGCATTCTATAGGTACACAGTTGGTGAAGTATGAGACAGCAAAGGAGATTTAGGATCATCTGCAAAAGTTATCTACTCAGTCGAATTTTGCAAAGTAGTATCAATTGAAGAATGACATACGAGCTCTTCAGCAGAAGAATATGAGTGTTCATGAGTTTTATTCTGCTATGACAGATCTTTGGGATCAATTGGCTCTTACAGAATATGAAGAGTTAAAGGCATGTGGTGCCTATATTGCTCGTAGGGAGCAGCAACGGTTGGTACAGTTCTTAACGGCACTTTGTAGTGATTTTGAAGGATTTAGAGATTCAATTTTGCATCGTAGGTTCAATTTTACATCGTTCTCCACTTCCTTCTGTTGACTCAGTTGTCAGTGAGTTATTGGCTGAAGAAATACGTCTTAAGTCTCACTCTAAAAAGGGAATTCTTTCTGCTTCGACTTATAATCCTTCTGTGTTAGCAGTACCTTCGAAGCCAGTCTTTAATAATAAGCATAAGCCTTACATAAGGGTTGCCTTCGACGAGTGCAGTTTTTGTAAGCAAAAAGGTCATTGGAAGGCTTAGTGTCCTAAGTTGAGGCAGCAGAATCAATCGCAGCAGCAATCTCAAGCTTGGAAGCCTGGCAACCAGTCACAATCTAATGCTCATAGACCACCTCAGGGTTACAAACCACCACAATCTAATACTGCACCAGTAGTTTCATCAGGTCCTTCCACCGATCCTAGTACTCTAGTTGAGCAATTTTACAAGTTTCTCTCCTTACAGCCACAAGTTTTGTCTGCTTCTTCTTCCGTAGGTCAGTTCCCTCATAGTTCTTCAGGTATGTCACATTCTGTATGGGTTTTGGATTCTGGTGGTTCACATCATATGTCTCCAGATTGTTCATCTTTTGCTTTTGTGTCTCCTTCATCTTTTATTCCTATTATGACTGCTGATGGCACTCCTATGCCTTTAGCAGGTGTTGGTTCTGTTGTCACACCTCACTTGTCTCTCTCTAATGTTTATCATATTCCGAAACTTACATTAAATCTTGCTTATGTTGGTTAGTTATGTGATTCTGGTAATTTAGTCACCTTTTCCTCTTCTTCTTGTTATGTGTAGGATCTACAGTCTCGGAAGCTGATTGGGATAGGCCGTAGGAAGGCGGGACTATATATTTTGGATAAGTTAAAAGTGTCAATTGCTGCTGCTACTAGTGCTGATGCTGCCTCTACTAGTGTTGATGCTGCTGCTACTAGTGTTGATATGTCTTCTTTTCATTTGAGTCCTTCTTCTTCTAGTTTTTATTTATGGCATTCTCGTTTAGGTCATGTTTCGTCTTCTCGTTTGAGATTTTTGGAATCCACAGGGGCTTTAGGAAATTTGTAAACTTGTGATATTTCTGATTGTAGTGGATGCAAACTGGCAAAATTTTCAGCTTTACATTTTAATCGAAGTATTTCTGTTTCTTCTTCTCCATTTGATTTGATTCATTCTGATGTATGGGGACCTTCTCCTGTTGCCACAAAAGGAGGGTCTCGATATTATGTTTCTTTTATTGATGATCATACTCGTTATTGTTGGGTTTATTTAATGAAACATCGTTCTGAATTCTTTGAGATATATACAGCCTTTCGAGCTCTTGTCAAAACTCAACATTCTTCTGTTATCAAATGTTTTAGGTGTGATTTGGGTAGGGAATACACTTCTAATAAATTTTGTAAGTTGCTTGCATTAGATGGAAATGTTCACCAAACCTCATGTACAAATACTTCTGAGCAAAATAGTATTGCTGAAAGAAAACATAGGCACATTGTTCAAACTGCTCGTTCTCTCTTATTGTCTGCTTCTGTTCCTAGTGTGTTTTGGGGTGAAGCTGTTCTTACTGTTGTGGTTTGATTAATACAATTCCATCTTCTCATATTTCAGGTTTTTCTCCTTTCAAAAAGTTGTATGGGTATGCCCTTGATTATTCTTTCTTTAAAGTTTTTTGTTGTACTTATTTCGTTCTTCGTCCTCATGTAGAACGTAGCAAGTTGTCCTCTCGATCTGCTATTTGTGTCTTTCTTGGTTATGGTGAAGGTAAAAAAGGGTATCGTTGTTTTGATCCAATAACTCAGAAACTTTATGTGTCTCGTCATGTTGTTTTTCTTGAGCATAAACCTTTCTTTTCTATTCCATCCACTACTTATAACTTGACTAGATCTGATCTAATTCGTATAGATCATTTTTCTGAGGATTCTGATAGTTTGTCATCTCAAATTCCTAGTACTGATCATTCTGCAGGTACTGACATTTTACTCTCCGGCACACCTGAAGTTCCCTTTTCTCCTATAGTCCCTCAAGCTCTATTTGAGACTATGGATCCACCTCTATGTCAATCCATACGCATTTGTAAGTCTACAAAGTTACCAGATTTTGCTTATTCTTGTTATTCTTCATCTTTTGCTTCCTTTTTAGCTTCTATTCATTGTCTCTCTGAGCCCTCTTCCTAGAAAGAGACAATTCTTGATCCTCTTTGGCAGCAAGCTATGGATGAGGAACTTTCTGCTTTGCATAAGACAGGTACTTGGGATTTGGTTCCTCTACCTCCTGGTAAGACTGTTGTTGGTTGTCGTTGGGTGTATAAGATCAAGACTAATTATGATGGATCTATTGAGTGATACAAATCTATGTTGGTTGCAAAAGGGTACTCTCAACAGTATGGTATGGATTATGAGGAGACATTTGCTCCTGTTGCAAAAATTACTACTATTCGTACTCTTATTGCAGTAGCTTGGTTTGTCAGTAGCATATCTCTCAACTTGATGTTAAAAATGCCTTCTTGAATGGAGATCTTAAAGAAGAAGTTTATATGGCGCCCCCTCCTGGTGTTTCATATGATTCTGGGTATGTTTGCAAG